TATATCAAAAAGCAAAGTGAAAAAATAAATAATAAAATAAAAATTATTGAAAAAAGAATTAAGTATATAAAATAATATATATATATATATATATGAAAACAAGGACCACACAAAAAAAAATCAAAAAGTATTTTTTAAGTACGAATCAAGCAAAAGTCATTCAAAAACTCAAGTTCAATCAATAAAGTGTCCTTCTGTGAACCCTCCTTTGGATAACGAAAAATATGTGCATCTGTCATCAATTCCCGTACAAAGACATCCTCCACCATATATCTGCTTCCCTCACGCAGTGTGACCGCACATTATACAATGTTACGTCTAACTGCACTTTTGGTCCCATATGGACTCAGAAGATCAGCTTGTTGAATGAAGACTCCAAAGTAATCTCCCTCCTGATAAGCGTCTTTGTATCAGCCGTATTCCTCATTACAAAGAACTCCACATAGTGCTTTATCCTTTTACACTTTTATTCATCAATTAAACATAAGAAATGCACTCACGTTCCGGAGGTGTATATTGCACCAGGTATGATGAACATCCAGTGATGTACTGATTAGACACTAGATGGCAGTATCATCTCAGCAGCAGAGTCCTGTACATGCTCAAACCAGACCCCATCCGTAATGTAATGCCAGGCAAAGCACGGGGCCACTTAATGAATGCTATTGCCTGCTGGAATGTCGTTCCAGGAGCTGCTTACAGAGTACTATAACCGCTGTCCCGATGAATTGTAACGTCGTGATGTCATTTGCACACTCCTCCCCGTACCCTGCATTCACTATATCCTGTCTCCCAGGACCCTGCATTCACTATATCCAGTTTCCCCAGACCCTGCATTCACTATATCGCTCTTCCTGTCCCCTGCATTCACTATAATTGGTCTGCCTGGAATTTGCATTCACAATAACTGCTCTCCCCAGACCCTGCATTCACTATTACTGGTCTTCCAGGACCCTGCATTCGATATATCTGCTCTCCCCAGACCCTGCATTCACTATATCTGGTCTCCCCAGACCCTGCATTCATTATATCTGCTCTCCCCAGACCCTGCATTCACTATATCCAGTTTCCCCATACCTTGCATGCACTATATCTCTCCCAGACCCTGCATTCACAAAAACCACTCTCCCAGGACCCAGCATTCATTATATCCACTCTCCCCGGACCCTGCATTCACTATATCCAGTCTCCCCAGACCTTGCATGCACTATATCCACTCTCCCCAGACCCAGCATTCACAAAATCCACTCTCCCAGGACCCTGCATTCACTATATCTGCTCTCCCTGGACCCTGCATTCACAATATCCCCTCTCTCGAGACCCTGCATTCACTATATTTGGTTTCACAGGACCCTGCATTCACTATCTCTGCTCTCCCCTGACCCTGAATTCACTATGTCCATCTCTCTCCCCGGACCCCTCATTCACTATATCTGGTCTCCCCAGCACTGCATTCCTTATATCTGGTCTCACAGGACCCTGCATTCACTATATCTGATCACCCGGTCCCTACATTCACTATATCTGCTCTCCCTGGACACTTCATTCACTATATCTGGTCTCCCTGGGCTCTACATTCACTATATCCACTCTCCCAGGACCCTCCATTCACTTTATCCACTATCTCAGGACCCTGCATTCACTATATCTGGTCTCCCAGGAGCCCCCATCCACTATATCTGCTCTCCTCAAACCCTGCATTCACTATATCCGATCTCCCCAAACCCTGCATTCACTATATCCGGTCCCCCCCGACCCTGCATTCACTATATCTGGTCTTCACAGACCCTGCATTCACTATCATATTATAAAGTGAAAAAAATGCTGCGCTCCATGAAACAATTGCACAATTCCTATATATCAAAAAAGCAAAGTGAAAAAATAAATAATAAAATAAAAATTATTAAAAAAAATTAAGTAAAAAAACTATATAATTAAGTATAAAATAAATATATATATGTATATAAACAAGGACCACAAAAAAAATCAAAAAGTATTTTTTAAGTATGATTCAAGAAAAGTCATTAAACAACTCAAGTTGAATCAATAAAGTGTTCTTCTGTGAACCCTCCTTTGGGTAACGAAAAATATGTGCATCTGTCATCAATTCCCGTGCAAAGACACCCTCCACCATATATCTGCTCCCCTCACGCAGTGTGACCGCACATTATACAATGTTACGTCTAACTGCACTTTTGGTCCCATTTGGACTCAAAGATCAGCTTGTTGAATGAGGACTCCAAAGTAATCTCCCTCCTGATAAGCGTCTTTGTATCAGCCGTATTCCTCATTACAAAGAACTCCACATAGTGCTTTATCCTTTTACACTTTTATTCTCAATTAAACATAAGAAATGCACTCACGTTCCGGAGGTGTATATTGCACCAGGTATGATGAACATCCAGTGATGTACTGATTAGACACTAGATGGCAGTATCATCTCAGCAGCAGAGTCCTGTACATGCTCAAACCAGACCCCATCCGTAATGTAATGCCAGGCAAAGCACGGGGCCACTTAATGAATGCTATTGCCTGCTGGAATGTCGTTCCAAGAGCTGATTACAGAGAACTATAACCGCTGTCCCGATGAATGGTAATGTCGTGATGTCATCCGCACACTCCTCCCCGGCCCCTGAATTCACTATATCCACTCTCCCTGGACCCTACATTCACTATAATTGGTCTGCCCGGACCCTGCATTCACTATTACTGGTCTCCCTGGACCCTGCATTTACTATATCCACTTTCCCCTGGGACCCTGCATTCACTATATCCAGTCTCTCTGTACTGGTATTTGGTTTTTCCCTGGAATCCCGCATTCACTATATCAGGTCTTCCCGGACCCCGCATTCACTATATCAGGTTTTTCCCGGACCCTGCATTCACTATATCCGCTCTTCCCCGGACCCTGCATTCACTATATCCGCTCTCCCCTGGACCCTGCATTCACTATATCCGCTTTCCCTGGAACCCTGCATTCACTATATCTCCTGTCCTTGTATCCTGCATTCACTATATACTCTCTCCCCGGACCCTGCATTCACTATATCTAGTCTCCCCAGACCCTGCATTCACTATATCTGGTCTCCCAGGACCCTGCATTCATTATATCTGGTCTCCCCAGACCCTGCATTCACTATATCTGGTCTCCCAGGACCCTGCATTCCATATATCTGGTCTCCGCGGACCCTGCATTCACTATATCTGGTCTTCCAGGACCCTGCATTCATTATATCTGGTCTCCCAGGACCCTGCATTCACTATGTTCTTGTCTCACCGGACCCTGCATTCACTATATCTGGTCTCCCAGGACCCTGCATTCACTATATCCGCTCTCCCCAGACCCTGCATTCACTATATGCGCTCTGGAACCCTGCATTCACTATATCTGGTCTCCTCAGACCCTGCGATCACTATATCAGGTCTACCTGGATCCTGCATTCACTATATCCTCTCTCCCCAGACACGGTTTCACTAACACATGTCAAAGTTGCAAAATTTTGCTTAGGCATTAACATTTGTTCTTACCCTTAGGCCCGAAAGGGCTCATTGAGCAAGCAGGAGCTAGAAGCTGATTGGCTGCCATGCACAGCTGCACCAGTTTTTCTTAAACCCCTCCCCCCTCCCCCCATGTGTTCCAGTTACACCTATCTAACCCCAGGTTCACACCTAAGCGTTTTCTGCAGAGTTTTGAAGAAACACACAGCAGTCCATTTAACATGATTTCCTATGGGACAGGTTCACATCTCTGCTTTTTCACACGGTGCATTTTTTTGGAAAGGGTCAGGGACTTTTTTTAACACAAAACATTGCATTTTTGGTTCTATAGACTTCAATGGGAACGCTGCAGAAAAGCATATATTGTTTTTTTGCTGTGTTTTTTGCATTTTAAACCTGTCTAGCAACAAGCAAAAAACAACAAAAAAAAACACAAAATGCATCAAAAATGTGGCAAAAACACAAGTGCAAAAAAGCAAAACGCAATGCAGAAACACATCAAACACAACCTGCATAGGTGTGAACCTAGACTAAGAGGGGGATTCCTCTGACCTCGGAGAGATTTCCTTGTGTCTCTGTGAACAGGAAATTGAAAATATGTGTAAAAAGAAAACTGAGCGAGGTTCTAACCCTTCCCTACTCTATCAAAACTAAAACAAAGGAAGGCTTTAGATACATTGTAACCAAAGCCTGAAAATGAACGCTTCAAAATACCAAACCGAACACTTCAAGGTTTCAACAAAACTTTAATGAAACATGAAAGATGAAAGTTGGACAATAAAATGTACAATAAAATGTCAGCACACAATAATCAAATCCCAGAACATAAAATGGCACAAAAATAGAGACAAGATAAAATGCATAAAAGTGGAATCTAAAACCTTAAAATGCATGGAATATATAAACACAACACATATAAAGGGTAAAATGACTTCTCAGTAGAATTCCACAGAGACAACCAACAGGTGGATTTTGCTTTTTTACCACCCGATGTGTTTTTTTCTCTTGGCTGCATTAGATTTCTTTTTTTAGGCTTTTTTCCCTCTGTTTTCACCTGTGATCTGGTCAGCAGGGCTGGGACAAGGGGTGGGCAAGGGGGGGGGGGGGGGCTTCCCTGGGCACTGTGATATCATGTGGGGTTTTCAGGGGGGGGCCCTGTTGTACCTGTGTATCTTCTCTTCTCTACATCTGTTCAAAGTGCAGAATTTATACAGCTTGTCCAAAAGTTCAGAAAACGGGGCGGGAGCTAAAGTTACATAATCCCCAACCCAGGGGCGTATTTGCCGTGAGGCAAACAAGGCGTTTGCCTAGGGCGGCACTTTTTAGGGGGGCGGCACGTGGTGCCGCCCCCCCTTCCAATGGAAGGACACTAAGTACAGTGGGCTGCTGTGTCTTACCTGGCTCCGGTCCCAGTCCCATGATGATCCAGTCCAGGAAGCACTGCTCCTTCATTCTCTCCGGCCGCTCCCCTCACTCGCTGTATGCGCGCTGCTGCTGCTCCGCCTCCTCACCGGTGATTGGGCGCCAGAACTGTAGCTCAGGAAAGGCACTCAGGCGGCCAATCACCTGCGAGAAGGTGGAGCCGAGCGACCCCCGCAAAACATCGAGTGAGAGAGCACCCGGAGTGAATGAAGCAGGACAGCTTACCGCCCGGTAAGTGTGCGTGCTGATGGTGCTGCTGGAACCAGGCATGCTGGCTGCAGGAGCACCTAGGCTGGAGCAGGGGTCAGCAAGGTAAGTGGTCATTGGGAAGGAATATTGCCCCATCATTGGTGTCACTGATACTAATGATGGTCATTATTCCTCCCACTGACACCAATGATGGGCACTATTCCTCCCACTGATACCATGATAGGTCCATTGCACTGCGGTGAGAAGGAGTCATGTGAGCAGCGGCGGACTGACCATTTGGAAACTCGGGCACTACCCGAGGGCCTGGGGTCAGTAGGGGCCCCATGAGATGCCCCTGGTACCTTTTTCATAGGCTTTTTTGAGTTTGGGCAAGGACACAGGGGCCCCATGATCCCCTATATGCCCGGGGGCCCCATGAGTTTTTCAGTCCTCCCCTGCATGTGAGATTTCTGATCAGTGCGGTCCGGTTCAGGTGTGGATTACAGGCTACTGACTTCTATGGGAACCGTTTGTAAACCGCACATGTGTGAACGGGATAAAATCCTGACCTGAACCTTTCCTAGAACCTGATGTAAACCTGATCTGAACCGCTGAACAACTACTGTGCCAATAAAGCTGTGAATCCTGAGCTTCAATCCGCACCGTACATGTGTGAATCAGCTCTTTATTGGGTTCACATCAGGCAGACCCGTATACTACACAGCTGATGTGTAGATCTAAAGGTTATTGTACAATCAGATTGTATAGTGTGTGGTCAGCCTAAATGCTAAATAACCCCCCCCCCCCCGAATCTTGCCTTGTTGGTGTGGAAGTGATTGAGGACACACTCCTCGGCTGAGATCTACCAGATCTACCGATGGAAGAAATATATTAATCTCTACAAACGGTGTCATCCTATGAACCAGATTCACATTTCTCAGCAGATTATACCAGATTCAGGTCAGATTTCCTGTCATATAGATCATTTTACACCGTCCCTCCTGACCCCCCCAATATTTATAATACGACCTTTTTCCTACCCATAACCCGGCATGGAGGGGCTCAGTGAAGGTGGTGGTGAAGGTGTGGAGGTGTCTGATGGGGTCACACAGATCATAAAAGGACAGCTGCCCGGCCTCATAATCCACATAGATCCTGACTCTATCAGTGGGGGGTATCGGGAGATCTGGGGATTTGGTTTATTATCATGTAATAGATATACACTCACTGTTATAAAAA